CCAGCGCCCAGGGCTCCCGGGCCCAGCCGCTCCGCGGCATGTGGGATCTTTCCGGACCGGGGCACGAACCCGCGTCCCCCGCATCGGCGGGCGGACTCTCAACCACTGCGCCACCAGGGAAGCCCAACTGCCCCCTATCTTGATGTCATCTCAGAAGCCTGAAGGATCACTGCAGTCTTGTGTCTTTTCCGGTCCTCTCAGATACGCCCCCCTTTAACCGGGCTCCTGGCGACCCCGGGGCCCGCACTGCCCTTCATCTTGGGAGGTGGAGCCCTGTGTGTGCCCCTCCCCCCCGTAGGTCACCCATCCACGTGCCTACCTGGTAGCGGGCAGCCGCCCACTTCTGGCATCTGCGGGCCCGGAACGGCGCCTGGCTAAAGAAGGAGCTCGGGATTTGCACTTCTCTATGTTTTCACTCCGCCTCGCACCCTCGTCCTCACTCAAACAGCCCCTGATTGAAAGACTGTACCGGAAACTGGCGATGGTGGGTTTTGTGCTGACCAGGATTAAGGAAGACGCTAGTTGCTTATGTTCTCGTGTCTATGTTGGTTGAGTCTGTAGCTTTTACAAGAAAAACATGAGAAATTGAGACATCAGCGACCTCTCGTATGTGAGGGGTTGCACAAATAAGCACGAAACATCGGGATCACTCTTGAGCCCGGTTGGTGCTTCCCCCTCAGGGCGAGACTGGGCTTCCCGCTGGCCTGGGGCCTCGGCCTGGGGGGGGGGGGGGCGCTTTTTCTCCCTGACCCCCAGTTTCTCTCCTCATCTGGTGCTCCAGGAGTTTGTGTCACCTCTTTGAGATGGAACAGAGTCTCCCTCCTGGGTCCTTCTGTCAGCACCTGCAGACTGTGCAGAGAGGGCCCGGAAGTCAGGGGTACCCCGAGCTCCCCCTGACCCACAGGCTGGGTGCTCCCAGAGATGGTGGGAGCCCCAGAAACGCAGCTCAGGAAGCATCTCAAGGTTACATGCTCTCTGCATTTTAGTCGTTTGTTCTTTCTCCACTTAAAATGGAGATCATTCGTCTAAAGCCATTTAAACTGTGTAGTTGTATCATACCATCAGTCGGCTTCTGTTTTGATGATTTACGCTCTCTTCACAAGGTATCATATTGTTAGTGACATTTGGCAGCGGTGTTTGTCAGACGGATTTCTTGAGCACGCAGTCGAGTTAGTGTCATTAAATTATCAGTGAATTTGAATAGGATTTTATAGTTAAAAAGGGAATAATTTTAAAAATGTAACTAAAATTGTTAACCCTGGGTAAAGCAGATCTTTCCTAGGGTTTCGACACTCAGTGTTGCACTTGTACTAGTCGCAGTGTCTTTGTTGGTCATGGCTGATTGAGGAGCCCCGTTCCCCTTTCTGTCCTGCGCAGTTAGTTTTCTTCTCCCCAGAATGGGGTCCAGGCAGCATGATCACTGAGGCCCAGGGCTGTGAGAGTAGTGAGTGTGGTGTCCGTGGGTATTTATGTCAGCTGGGATAGCCTAGGTGATCACCTGGCAAATGTAGCATTACCTTGCTTTGGGGGTTTGTTGTGTGTCATTTTGAATTTTTTTTTAAATTTTATCAAGGGGATCCCTATTTGCAATGTTTCTAATGGAAATGTAGTACAGCGTAAACAAGCAGAAACTGTCCCTCCCTGCTCTCCCATCTGGCTCCCCAGCCCCAGGTCTCTGCTGGCTTCTGCCAGTAGAAGTTTGTAGACGGTCTGCTTCGTCCTTGCATTTAAAGATCCCATGGGGTGATTATTTCCCACTTGCTGGAGAGACTAGGCTTTCGCCCTCCATCCCCGCCCCCTCCCCCCACACGCATACACTGCCGCTTTTCGGGTGCTTCATATACTGAGACCATCCTTCTGATTAAAGAACCATCAGGGGCTCCATTCTTGTGTCTGTGTGGGTGCCTGTTGCCGACACACACCATGCACTGGCTTCATGACCTCTCTGATACAGCTCTTAGCTTTCCCTGGAGTTAGCGATTTCCTCCCTTCCTATTGGCTGAGTTCCCTATGCTCCAATGCAAATCCAGTCCCACAGTTTGAGAAACCTGTAAGCTCTTCTCACTGTGGGCAAACGCTGGTGATCATGGCTACAGTTTCAGTCTTGTACTGTAGACTATCTTTAAGTATAATGATGTAGTAACATGATTTTTGCATTTCAAAGTGTCTGAAATATGAATCTGTTATACCTCTAGATCAGGATCCATGGTTTAAATATTTGCTTTTTGCAAAAAGGAAAACAATTACAGCATATAAGCCAGCACAATGTCCTTCCTGCTTGAGTGGTGATGGCCACTATTTTATAAAACCACGAAGAATCTGTTACATGAGTGTCTCAGTCAGCTTTGGCTGCATAACAAACTACCCCAGATATAGTGCTTACTACAGCAGTCATTTGTTTGTGGAGGGTTGTCTGGGCTCTCTCTCATGCTCCTGTGATCACCTGTGAGCTGCCCAGTGACGGGGTGACCTGGAGTAGCCTCACTTCCAGTCTGCTGCTTGGCAGCTGTATTGTCTGCTGGTTTCTGAGTTCCAAGCTCAGCAAGAGGGCAAGAGTGGTTTAAGCCTCCATGTAAGTCATGGATGATGTTGCCTTGCTGGCCAAGGCAAGCCTGAAGGTCAGGGTGAGAGCTCGTATGGGAATACACCCAGAGGAGTGGATATTGCAGTGCTGTGACAGACCCGGCCTGGAGCACAGTCATCTTCTCCACGAGGGATCCTCACCC